GAGCAAGAAGCAGCCAGGTAAGCTGCAGAGCCCCCCCCCCCAGGCCCCCAGTCCAAAACAGTCCAGTGGCACCTTTAAGACCAAGTTTTATTCAGGTACAAGCTCTCCCTCCTCTGCGAGGAACTGGTTGGCCCCTATGAGAGACAGGATGCTGGACTAGATGGCCCACTGGTCTGATCGAGCAGGGCTCTTCTGATGTTCTTAGGAAGGCCTCGGCCTCTCTGCCCTGTTGCTGGCCCTCCAGAGGAACTGGTTGGCCCCTATGAGAGACGGGATGCTGGACTAGAGGAACCACTGGTCTGATCCAGCAGGGCTCTTATGATGTTCTTAGGAAGGCCTCGGCCTCTGTGCCCTGTTGCTGGCCCTCCAGAGGAACTGGTTGGCCCCTGTGAGAGACAGGATGCTGGACTAGATGGACCACTGGTCTGATCCAGCAGGGATCTTATGAGATCAGGCTAGCCTGGGCCATCCTAGCCAGGGCTTTTTGTGGTCTTAACAAAGGTTTTATTGAACTGCCCAGTGTAGGCCCAGAAAAGGGGAACTCTGTTCCCTTAGAATCCTTCCCCTAGGAACACAGTTCCTATTAACATAGTTCCATTTATCATGAGACCATCTCTTACTTTTTGTTCCTCCTTCCGTCCCTCAAGGTGGTTCTAAAGGCTGTCTATCTGGTCCTGAACCATGACATTAGTTCCCGAATCTGTGACGTGGCCCTCAACATCGTGGAATGCCTGCTTCAGCTTGGCGTGGTGCCCTGTGTGGAGAAGGCCAGAAGGAAAAGCGAGAACAAAGAGAACGAGCCCAGCGAGAAGAGGCAGAGCGAGACCTCCTTCCACCTCAAGGGAGCTTTGAGCAATTCGGCGTCTGGATTCGGGGCTGCTCCCATCAGTGGAACTGGAGATGGTGGCGGGGAAGATGGAGGAGGAGGGATAGGGGGTGGTGGAGACGATGGAGGCGACGGAGGAGGCGATGGAGGAGGAGACGGAGGAGGAGGAGGAAGGCCTTATGAAAAAAACGATAAAAAGGAAGACAAGGTACATGGTGGCCCTCTAATAGAAATAGTTCCCTATTGGTGCAGTATCAGACTATGCTTTTAATATGTGTCCTCTCACCAGGACTATTTTTGGGCAGGAACGCACAGGAATGGAGTTCCGGCTGACTCCCGAGTTGGCCACGCACAGCAGGAACTCATTAGCATAATAGGCCACACCCAGCAGCAGAAACTCATTAGGATTGGCTACATTAGGGGTGTGTGACATAACATGCAAAGGAGTTCCTGCTACAAAAAAGGCCCTGGGTTTTGACAACAAACAAGGTAAACAGAATAAGAAGGGAAAGGTGAGTGTGGCTGGATGACCACACTTCTGGTAACATGGGGGTGCAGCTTAATGTGCTAATGAGCTGTGCTGTCAGGGGTGTGGCCTAATATGCTAATGAGTTTCTGCTGTTGGGTGTGGCCTGTTATGCTAATGAGTTTCTGCTGGGCTTTTTCTACAAAAAGAGCCCTGCCTCTCACCATTTGGCAATATGAGGGGTGGCGGCTTAGAGGTAGAATATTTGCTTGGCATGCAGAAGGTCCCAGGTCCAATCCCCGGCATCTCCAGATACAAGGATCTGGCAGTAGGTGATGTGAAAGACCTCTGCCCTGAAACCCTGGAGAGCTGCTGCCAGTCTGAGTAGACAATAATGACCTGCATGGACCAAAGGTCTGATTCAGTAGAAGGCAGCTTCATGTGTTCATGTTGTAAACCGTTTATGAGGACTTGTTTTCACTGACCTGAGACTCCATCATTAGTGGGCACGCCAGACTTTCCCAGTCGTTTCAAAGCGCCAAAATCTGAAGGAGCCCAAACACACAATTTAGTTGACTCCTAGGTCTTGCTTCAGCATTGCTCCTGGTTGCACGAGAGTTAGAGCTGCCAGCTCCAGTTAGGGGGTTGGAGTCTGATGAGGGCAGGGTTTGGGGAGAGGAGGACTTCAGCAGGGTATAATGCCATATAGAGTCCACCTTCCAAGGTGGCCATTTTCTCCAGGTGAACTGGTCTCTGTCACCTGGAGAGCGGTTGAGATCCCAAGAGATCTCCAGCCACCACCTGGAGGATGGCGACCCAGAGGTTTCCTGAATGTATGAGATTTAAGGGTAGGGTTGCCAAATTCCTCCTGGCTACCGGCGGTGGTGGGGTAAACTTTCCAGATCCAGGTTGGGAAACACCTGGAGACTTGGGGATAGAACCTGAGGACCGGGACGTCAGTGGGGTACAATGCCATGGAGCCTGCCTTCCAAAGCAGCCATATTCTCCAGGGGGAACTGATCTCTCTAGTCTGGAGATGAGCAGTAATTCTTGAGGATCTCCAGGTCCCACCTGGAGGCTGGCATCCAATGTTCCCTCTAAGCAGTGGAGTCATGTGAGCAAAATTCTACTTTGTGAGCTACTGACATTAAAGTTGTGAGCGAGCGATTTGGCTACTGCATAAATCAGTTTGCTCTGGAGCCATCCTTCCTGAACTGAGACAAAAATGTGTGAGCCAGAGGCTAAAAAACTTTGAGCTAGCTCACACTAACTCAGCTTAGAGGGAACACTGCTGGCATCCCTACTCAAGGGCCTCAATGGCATTTCCACTCTCCCCAAGTTAAGTACTAAAGGTTAAGCTACATGCTATGTTTATAGCTATTTGTTGTGGTTGTTCAGTCACACAGTCGAGTCCAACTCTTCGCGACCCCATGGACCACATCATGCCAGGCCCTCCTGTCTTCCGTCGTGCTCTGAAGTTTGCTTAATTTCATGTTTGTTGCATCGATAACACTGTCTAACCATCTCATCCTTTGCCGTCCCCTTCTTCTTATACGTTCAGTCTTTCCCAGCATCAGGGTCTTCTCCAGTGAGTGCTCCCTTCTCATTTGGTGGCCAAATTATTTGAGCTTCAGCTTCAGGATCTGGCCTTCCAGGGAACAGTCAGGGTTGATTTCTTTTAGGATTGACTGATTTGATCTCCTCGCAGTCCAAGAGACTCTCAAGAGTCTTCTCCAGCACCATAAATCGGGAACATCTATTCTTCGGCGCTCGGCCTTCCTTATAGTCCAACTCTCGCAGCCATACAGTACTCCTGGGAATACCATTGCTTTGACCATACGGACTTTTGTTGGCAGGGTGATGTCTCTGCTTTTTATTATGCTGTCTAGGTTTGCCATCGCTTTCCTCCCAAGGAGCCGGCGTCTTTCATTTATAGCTATTTTTATAAATGTATACGTATCCGGGCAGGGCTCTTTTTGTAGCAGGAGCTCCTTTGCATATTAGGCGACACACACCCTAATGTAGCCAATCCTCCAAGAGCTTACAGAGCTCTTCTTACAGGGGCTACTGTAAGCTCTTGGGGGATTGGCTACATTAGGGGTGTGTCGCCTAATATGCAAAGGAGCTCCTGCTATAAAAAGAGCCCTATGGCCTATTATGCATGGGCATTTCCCCTCACTTTCACTGTGCATGTCTATCAGGTTTTCTTTGTCATTCATGTTGATTTTCCTCCCTTCAGCACCCAGTTTGCTTTCTGGTTTCTGTTTCCCTGGGTTTTCTGAGAGACCTTTTGTGCTGATTTTTCCCTTGTTTCACTGCCAAGCTCAAAAGGTAATTCAGAAGCGTACAGAATCCCTTGGATTCCCCCCCCCACACACACACCTTTTCCCACTCCATGAAGATCACTCCCCCACCCACATCGAGGTCGTTCTGCCCACTCTGCACCTTCTGCCGTCCTTCCCCCTTCATCGGTGTGCAAGTGCCATTTCCCTCTTGTTGGTTTAATTTTTTTTACAAGCGGCATGAGTCTAGTAAAATGAGACTATCGCTAGTCTCAGATTGCTGAATACAAAAAAATTAAAACGAGGAGGGAGTTTAAAAGGAGTTGCGCGGGGTTTATTTCCCTTCTGGTATTGACTTGAAAAGGGCTTTGGAGAGGAGGCAAACAGCAGCATCCCCTGTGGAGAAAAAAAATTCAGTGCTGCATACAAACAAAATAAAGGGGGGGGGAGGTTGTCAGCACGGAATGAAATTGAAATGAGATGTAATGAGAGAGACACTGGGATGGGAAGCCTAAAGCTTTAAAAACATTTTTCCCTTTAATGCTTTAGTGGACAACGTTTTGGGGAAACCATTTTAGCATGTTTGGGGGGAACCTTAAAGAGCCATGTTTGCCCATACTGAGCTCTGCTTTTATAAATTGTTATGAATGTTAGAATATTATGAATGTTCACTATAATTCAAACAGTAGGCTGGGGTCCCCAAAATGGTGCTTGTGGGTGCTATGGCACCCACCAACTCCTTTCCTGGTGCCCTACAAGTATTTTGGAAAGCAGGTGAGGCCAGGTGGCGCTTTTGCCCAGCAAGGCTTCTGATTGGTGGTTGGAGATTTGATTGGCTGTGCAGATTTTGAAAAACCTTGCTTTGGCAGCAACTGCCATCCCAAGGATCTTCAGTTTGTGAAGTAAGCCGAGGCAGCCATTTTGTGGCTGGCTCTGCCTCCAGAAGCAGCCATTTTGTGGCTTCACCCACCACACTGTCAGAATTCTGAATGTGCTCTCAGTCTCAAAAAGGTATACTCTGTGTGAACCTGATGACAAATCCAACAAGTTTTGTTTAAAGGATTTAGGGCACTCTTTGAGTCGGCTTGTGTGGGAGCAGAAACGACACCCGTTTGTATAGAACGGACACTGATGCCCATTTTCTCTTCTCTCCTCTCCCAAAAATCGGTGGCCCTAAGGATGAAGGCACCCCAACAAGCACCCACAGGTTAGCTCTGACAATGTTGATCAAAATTGTGAAGTCTTTGGGCTGTGCCTATGGCTGTGGAGAAGGCCATCGTGGGCTATCGGGAGACCGCCTAAGACATCAGGTATGAAGCCTCAGAAGAAAGACTGGAAGCAGATGATAAAACCTTTCCTCTTTTACATTCCACTATGCCGTGTCCAAACTCCATAGTTGCCTGCAGGCTCAAAAAGGTGGAGGACCCCTGATCGACATGATAAAAACAACTGATACATAAAACATACACAGAAACACCATCCAAGTCCCACAACGAATGCCCCCTCCAAAGCCCCCTCCCCAACTGCACAGACTTACATTGTCTACAGAAGGACAATAAGGTGGGATTTTCTAAGAATGCTTTGGGCAGGCCGTTCCAGAGTGCTGGGGCCATAACTGAAAAGGCTCTGCCAAGAAAGTTTGGGGCTGCTTTGCTGAAGGGACAGGCCCAAAGAGCTTTCACCGTATGTTACCATTTGAGAGAGGTTGCCACACGAATTACCCCAGAGCAGTACACCACAAGGAGAAGGTTGTCCCATAGACAGGACATCACACAGTCTCGGTTTTTTTGTCAATTAAATGATTTTGTATATACAACCCAACTCTGGGTTGGGAATTACCTGGAGATTTGGGGGCAGAGCCTGGGCAGAGGTGAGGTCTGGTGACAAAAGAGACCTCAGCAGGGTATAATGCCACAGAGTCCACCCTCCAGAGCAGCCATTTTCTCCAGGGGGACTGGTCTTGGTCAGCTGGAGGTCAATTGTAATAGTGCAGGCATGTCCAACTTCGAACAGGTAGTGATCTATTTTGTACAGCCAAAAGTGCCAGTGATCTACCACCTTTGATGGGGTGCCTTTGGTGCCAGCGTCGGAGGTTAGGAGTTTGGGAGTGCTCCTGGATTCCTCCTTAACCATGGAGGCCCAGGTAGCAGCCAGTGCCAGATCTGCTTTTTACCATCTGAGGCAGGTTCGGCAGTTGGCTCCCTTCCTCGACCACGATGACCTGGCTACAGTGATCCACGCGACGGTCACCTCGAGGTTAGACTACTGTAACGCTCTCTACATGGGGCTGCCTTTGTCTCAGATCTGGAAGCTGCAGCTAGTGCAGAATGCGGCGGCCAGGTTGCTGATGGGTCTCCCCAAGTGGGAGCACATCCGACCTGGGCTGAAGGCGCTGCACTGGCTGCCAATAGCATACCGAATCCGCTTCAAAATGCTGGTACTTACCTTTAAAGCCCTATATGGCCAGAGTCCGACCTACTTGAGGGACCGCCTTTTCCCGCACATACCCCCAAGAGCACTTTGGTCGGGGACCCAAAACCGTTTGGTGATTCCAGGTCCTCGGGAGGTAATACTTGCTGCGACCAGGGCTAGATCCTTCTCAGTGGCGGCCCCTACCTGGTGGAAGGAGCTCCCGGAGGAGACCAGGGCCCTGCGGGACCTTATGCAGTTCCACAGGGCCTGCAAGACGGAGCTCTTCCAGAAAGGCTTTTATATAGGGGCCGCCGCTGCCACCACCACCAACAGTGGCAATACCATCGGGATTCGGGATCGCACTGGGAAGCTCAGCCATACATTGTGCGGCATGAACAACGTGGGATTGGAACGATCTGCTGGACAGTGGTACCCCAATGGGGCTGACTGGAAGATGCCGCCATAACACTAATTAGTTTCAAATTAGATTTTAACCCACTAAAGTTGGGTTCCACCGCCCCGCCCCCCGTTTATAATGCACCTTCTGTCATTTACTGGCAAGCAAAATAAGCAAAAACAAAACCGAGAGACGAAGATCCAGAAAGAACTGCGAACATTTTTTAAAATTTTTTATTGAGTTATAACTTTCTTTAACTGTGGGGCTGGTGATCTACTTCTGACCCCTCCGCGATCTACTGGTAGATCGCGATCTTCCTGTTGGAGTGGGTTGGATGCTGTTTTGGGCGGCATCTTCCATGAGACATTGTTCCACTGTGAATTAGACCTCCGAGGCTGCACAGTTCTGTTTCTCTGAGAGCACTCCTGGCAATCGGTGGTTCCTGCCAGAAGCTAAGCGGATGTTCCTGTTCTTAAAATGTCTCCGCAGGCACAGAATTGCCTCACGAAATTGTACAAGCTGGATAAGATGCAGTTCCGGCAGACCATGAGGGACTACGTGAACAAAGACTCCCTCAACAATGTGGTGGATTTTTTACATGCTCTGCTGGGATTCTGCATGGAGCCCGTCACTGACAGTAAGTGTGGGCAGCCACCAAAGGCACCATTCCTGCTTCCCTGTAGTGGAGGGAGCGCAGCAGTGCTCCAGCGCATAAGGTCTGCTGCTGTCGGAGGTTCACTGATGCATAGGTTACATTTTAGGGCTGCCAGTTCTGGGTTGGGAAATACCTGGAGATTTTGAGGGTGGAGCCAGAGGAGGGCGGGGTTTGGGGAGGAGATTTAGCGGTGTGTGCCATCATACAGTCCACCTTCCAAAGTGGCCATTTTCTCTGGGTGAACATCTCTGTCACTTGGAGATCAGTTGTAATATCAGGAGATCTCCATGCACTGCCTGGAAGTTGGCAACCAAAGTTGGCAGGATGATTTGACCGTTTCCTGCTTGCATTTTGCAGACAGGGCTGGTTTTGGAAATAACTTCAGCACAGTGGACAATAAGTCTACGGCTCAAAGCGTGGAAGGGATCATTGTCAGTGCCATGTTCAAATCACTGATCACCCGTTGTGCCTCGACTACACATGAGCTCCACAGTCCGGAGAATCTGGTAAGGGCAACTTTCGCATTTATCCTTTGGTGTCAGGGATGCATTGAAACCCCCGTGATGTTCATTTCAGTACATATGATTAAGTGTCAGCACAGCCATCTATCATATCTGTCAGCACAGCCACTTATCTGGCACCTGGGTTTTGGCCACTGGGTGACACAGACTGTTGGACTGGATGGACCATTGGGCTGATCCAACATGGCTTCTCTTATGTTCTTATGTCTGGGGTAGTGATGCTCTGTATCCTTGGTGCTTGGGGGGCAACAATGGGAGAGCTTCTGGAGATCTTCTGGCCCTGCTGATGACACCTGGGTTTTGGCCACTGTGTGACACAGAGTGTTGGACTGGATGAGCCATTGGCCTGATCCAACATGGCCTCTCTTATGTTCTTATATTCTTACTGGCAGTAAAGCCCGTTGTGAAAGCAATACAACGAGATCTAGAAAGAGGCTCTGGGGGAGTGCTCTGGCTTTGGGCAAACAGTGTCAATTTGCTGTGGTGACCTCAGCAGGGTATAATGACAGAGTCCACTGTTTTCTCCAGAGGAACTGATCTCTGCTACCTGAAGAGCAGTTGTAATTGTGAGTGATCTGTAGCCCTCACCTGGAGATTGGCAGCAATTGTTACCCAGGACAAAATGGCTGGTTTGGAGGTTGGAGTTGGCAACCCCATCTCCTTCCCAGCTAACCATCAACCTACCATTATCTGCCCCTTTGACTTCAGCTGACCTCTGTCCTCCCTTCTGCAGAGCAGTTGTAATTCTGAGTGCTCTCCAGCCCTCACCTGGAGATTGGCAACAATGGTTCCCTATGTGGGACTGATTGGTTTGGTGGGTGGAGTCTATGGCACTGTACCTGTCTGAGGTCCCACCCCTCCTCAAACCCCACCCTCTTCAGGCTCCATCCCTCAAATCTCCAGGAATTTCCCATCTGGAGTTGGCAACCCTATCAGGACTGGCCCCAATGTGTTTTCTCCCAAAGGCCAAAGTAGGTGACAGGACCAAGCTTAGTTGCCTACCAACAGGCACTGAGGGGAATGTAGGGTTGCCAGCTCTAAGGAGGGAAATACCTGGAGGTTTGGGGGGTGGATTCTGTAGAGGGCAGCATTGGGCAGGGGGGCAGAAGGACTCAGCAGGTATAATGTCATAGGGTCTACCCTCCAAAGCAGCCATTTTCTCCAGGGGAACTGATCTCTGTCATCTGGAGATCAATTGTAACAGTGGGAGATCTCCAGGTCCCACCTGGAGATTGGCAACCCTAGGGGAAAGTCAGCTGCACAGCAGGGGGTTGAAGAGAATGGTTTGATGGCTGCTGGGCCAAGATTGGCAACAATAGTTCCCCAGGAGCCCCATCGTAAATGCACCAAACAATTCCTAAAGATTTTCCGAAACACTACTCTGTCGATAAATTGCAACAGTTTGAATTAGCACCAAAGCTTTAAGAGCTCTCCAGCTGTCACCTGGAGACTGGCAACAGCTTGTCTGGAGTGTGGGCAGTATGGCATTGTATCTGTCTGAGGTCCCCCTCTTCCTCCTCCTCCTCAGACCCCACCCTCAGCAGGCTTCATCCCTAAAATATCCTGGAAGTTTCCAACCTGGAGTTGGCAACCCTATGTCCTGGAGTTCGAACCGGGAGTTGGCAACCATCAGCCAACGTTTATCTGCCTGTCTGTCTTTACAACCCCCCCACACACACACACACACAGCCTCTGCCTAGGGAGCAGCTGACATCATTCTCCTCCCCCAACTGAAAATTCCAACTGCCTTGCGGGGGGGGGAGTTTGAGGTGTGGAATAGAGTGAAGTCCAATCAGCTTCCATATGCAAAAGACCTTGAAACGCTGGGCGGGACTGCACAAAGCAGCCAGTCAACCCAGCCAGCATCTTCTGAGTGGCAGTTCTTCC